ACAAGCAGAGCAGAGGGTTCTATATCTTTTCATGAAGGCTTCCAGCAGAATACTGGCTCCCAGGTAGCTAGGACAAGGGTATTAAAGCCCACACCCACAAGGCCACACCTCTCAACAGTGCCACTCCCTAGGCCAAATATATACAAACCATCACAGATGGTTGCTTTGGTGCTTGCCTTTAATCCTAGAACTCAGAAGACAGAGGCAAGTGGACTCTTGAGTATGAGACCAGCCTGGTCTAAGTAGAGTATGAGGCCAGCCTGGTCTAAGTAGTGAGTTCCAGGACAGCCAAGCCTGTATAGAATGAAGACCTTGTCTTATAAACAAAATAAATCTAAAAGCAAACAACAACAACAAAATGAGAGAGAGAGAGAGAGAGAAAGAGAGAGAGAGAGAGAGAGAGAGAGAGAGAGAGAGGGGTTGATTTATATTGCTTTCTAATTAATGTGCTTTTTGGTGCCTATTGGAACCTAAGGATCTTGATCAGCAGTAACTAGCAAAATACATTCATATATATAGACATCCACGTCTTCCCACATAGGTGTATGTGAAGTTGTAGCTACTGCCAACACAAGCCTACACCATAAGACCAGCATGCCCTTCGCCTTGAGTCTATAGACTACCCCTGCAGTAGCTGACCCTTGTAGAGGAGTAGGCTTCTGCAGCTGAGATTTTAATCACTCTATGGCTTATCCACTACTGGTGATCAGGGTCAGTAGGAATGCTCACAAAGGTGTGATAACATTTATTGTGGATTCTGCCATACACATGGCCTGTAGTCCTTTCACATGCCAGCAACTGGGCATCCAACTGTGTCTGCTATACAATCATGGGGGAGAGGTGCAAACAAACCAAGCTATTCTATCCCTTATAGAATGGCTTTAATGTTAGAGCTGCTCTCTAGGACTTCACTGGGATGAATAATTGAAGGGTGCTCCAGTCTTCCAGCCCATACATTTTAACATTCACAATTTTAGCTTCTACTTTGTTCTCCAGACTGATTGCCTTGCATCATACTGACAGTTTTCACCTCTGTGATTCTAATAGACTTCTTAGGCACATGAAACCTCACCATACTGGGAAAAACTACTTCTCAATTGCTTGGTCTCTATCAGGCATATGCCGTAGGTCTCTTAGAAGGGCACCTAATGCAGAGGTGCCCTGGCCATGTGCAGCTTCCCACTCACACTTCATCCAGTGCTGATATCACCATGAACTTATAGTCTGTCAGCCTGCCACAGACTAGAGCAATTGTGTATCCTCGTGGGTGTCTGTAGCTCTCAGGGGAATCCAGTATTGGATCTCTGGTTGGGGTTTACAGGAAGTAGTTTCTCAGAAGTCTTTTTCGTCAAAAAAACAGAGCAAGTCTGCATGTCTTCTGTACCATGCCTTGTCTGTAACTCAGTCTGGTTCTGAATTTACAGCATTTCCTGTTCATCTGGCTTACAGAATTTTAATTCCCATGGATTGAATGCCATACATTTTCTACAAAAATGTAGAAACCCCTTAATTTATATATTTTTAACCCCTTAATTTATATATTTATATTCCTTACTAAAGTGTGAAATTTCTATATCCCTCTCACTGTTCCCACTCCCAAGATCTCTGTTTCTCTTTCATAATGTTGATGGACATGCCTGACCTAGTGTAATACCACATACTTACTATGATGTTAGGCCGATCAAGTCACTGTTTTCCATAGCTATAGAATAAACTCCAGTTTCTCTGCCCTGACACAGCCAGGTATGAGTTTTGTTTTGTGAGGCTGAAATGGAGGGATCAGTGCACTTGTGTGGTAAGTGCGTGTTTGCTCCTCACTGAGTGTGTCAGGCACTACACAGAGGTTTGGAGTGTATTTGATGACAAAGTCCTCATGCACCCGTATTATAGTTAGAAAACACATTGGATGAGCAAATTAAGTCAGCACCGCAGATTCCTGCAGGTGGCCATGTGAGGCACATGATGGGGCAGATACTGGGAGCCCTGGGGGTGAGGTATTTAGGTGGGTGGTGGGGTTGGGGGGGGGAGACTTCTTTAAGTGTATGGAGAAAGTGACCCATGAGGCCAGACCTTCTTGGAAGAAAGCACACCACATTCTGACCCAGTAGTAAATACAGTCGGTACATGTGACATCGACGATGAGTAGCTCCTCTCTGCTCCATCCTCTCCACAGCAGGGAATGTCTGGAACTCGAGCTTTCCAGAACTCTGAGCTTTCTTGTGAGTCCTCTTGTTAGTTTCCTAAAATCCTGGTGTGACCAAGCTCCTGAGATCCTGTGGTCCTGGGCATGTTAGAACACCTGAGAGTCAAGCTTCTCCTGGATGTTGTGGAACTGGATGTGGAGCTAGTGCCCAAGGTCTGCTCAGGGCACTGGCTCAGACTGGAAGGAACCTCAAAATGTGTTACGTGTTCATTAAATGTTCATCTTAAAAAAAAACACATGGACTGACTCTGAATCTTACCCAGCTTAACTATAGGGTTGAAGTTCATTCTCCCTACCATTTATCTATACATATACATACATAGTCCTCACATGTCAAATGTGTTAAAAAAAAATCTCCCCATGGGCTTTTAAAACTTCCCCTCTTCTTCACTGGATTCTTTAATTCCAAATGCACTGTCTTCCTTGGCTGTGTGTGTAGAACTTCATCATTAATCACAGAGATGTGTTAGCAGTGGCTCTGCTGCTCTGTGTTGTTCAGCACAGGGCATCATGAAAAGCACTCGAGTGTGTGTGTGTGTGTGTGTGTGTACGCGCTACTTTGAAAATGACAGTAACAATCTGTGGTCCAGGTATTTGGATTTTATTTCCAGCATTATAAATAACCAACCACTTTCAAGTTAAACATAAACTTTCTAAGGAAAACTTTTGTAGGTGATAACAAACAATTTTGAATTTTTTCCATTAACAAGTGCAATATAATTTGAATCACCTTATTCCAAAAATTAAAAATGTTTCAAAATCCAGTGGTTTTGAGTGCCACAGTAACACTACAAGTCAACCGCCCTGGCTTCATGTGATGTCATAACTCAGGTACATAAAAAATATATATTATTTACAATTGCCATCAGGTAGGTATATAAATTGTATATGTTTGCAAGTATTCTAACATTGGCAGAAAATCTCTGAAATTTGAAACCCTTTTGCTCCCAAGTATTCAGATAAGGGATGCACAGCCTGTCCTCACCTTTTTAATAAGCAGAGATGTGCTTAGAGCTATAAGCTGCCAGTTTCAAGAACTAGATTCTAAAAATTATTAAATGAAACTCCAAGTGTGCCATCAGTCAAAGATAACATAATGCTTCTCAGCTTTGAACATTCTGTTTATAGTCCTGAATGTTTAACTAAGACCCAAGGTGGGTAAGTAATCCCTTTGACTGTTGCTTGTTTTATATTCTGTGATTGAAATCTCGTAAATTACTTATATTGTGAATTTTATTTAAATGTACATCGAGTTCTGGCCCATGTGCTCAGAGTCTTCTTCAGAACAACAGTTGAGTAGCTGTGATTCTGTTGCCCTGAAAGATACAACTGTGAGGCAGTGGGAGGCCAGCTCCAGCCGATGCAGGAGGGGTTACTTGTCTTGGAAGCCTCTTCCCTTAGAAGCACTCACCTAGGAAAGCTGCTTAACAGTAGATTAGCCATGGAGCGGGATGTCTCTCCCTACCTTCTTTTGTAGTGCTAAGAACCATAAGGAGTAAAAGAATATACTATTACAACTGTCCAAAAATGTGGCAAAGATGAATTTGATTTGAACATGGAACTCTTTATAAGCAAGTAAGAAAGTTCAAGTCTGAGTGTACTAAATAAAAATATGAATTCATAATTGGAAGTGAGATGGCAGTATGAACTTTCTGGAATGATGCATAAGCTTACTCTGAAGTCACTGTCAATGAGGAATATTCCAGAACCCTGACTTGCAAATAAATGTATATGCGCTCAAGGTAGCTACTCTGGAACATAATGCTTGTTTAGGTGGAAAAAGAAACAATGTGCGCATGTTTGCAAAACAAGATCAGTTTTATTACTTTATAGACATACCTTGTAGATGAAAAATATACTCCTATCATGGAACTCTTTATAAGCAAACTTCTGAATGTAAGTAGAATTTCTGTCTCATCCTTTTTAAGTCTGCTGAGAAATCTGAATTTCTAATAACTACTTTGAAAGAAATACTGTTGACTCTTTTCTAAAAGCAGAGGCTTTGCGTCGCACTTCGCTTCCTTTGGATTAGCTTTGTACCTCCGCTAGTCAGTTTTTATTTAGTGTATCTATCTTTGTTCCCCCTGAGAGACTCAAAACGTACTTTCTTGCTTTTAAATTACCATCAAGCTATTTAACCAAAGTAGAAAGCCCATGGCTATTAACTGTTCCTGATGCTGAGAGCTCTTTTCCGTTGCTTGTAGCAAGTGCTTTTCCTTTTGTAAAAGTGGGGCCTCGTGTCTTAGTAAACAAAAGTATCAGTTAATTTAGAGAAGGCTCAGATTTTTTAAATGTGACCTAAAGAACATTTCTTCTCTAGAGAGCCCATTGTATTTGTCAGTCTCATGGAGGAGAGAGCCTCCAGCACTTCTAGACCATGCTCTAGCAGTGGCAAAGGCTCTAGCTGGACTCACTGGCCGAGCATGGGGAGAGGACCTAACTATGCTGCTTTCTTGGGCTTTTTCACATCTATTTCACCACATCCATCATCATCCTGGTCAGTCAGGCCTGATTCTTCATTGCTGAATTGAAATTAAAGTAAAACGGAGCCTGGAAGCCAAAGAAAATTGTTACCCTTTCTCAAAGAGGTGAAGGCAGCTCAATCTCGACATATTTTAAACGTCAGATTTGACACATTTGATTGGAAAATTGTGTGACCTGTGTAGTTAGGGATCAAAATGGTCACTGGTTCATACTTTTAAAAAGTCATGAAGTGGTAGTTTTTACCACAGACTGATAGAATACTATTTTATTCTGTCAAGTAGTAACTATTACACAAATGCCTATTATTTTGCAGTTTGGTGATTTAAATGCTGTGTCTCCCGGAAATCTGGATAAAGGTAAGAACTGAAAATTCTTAACGGCTTTTTGACTGAGCTCCTGTGAGCAGAAACAGTATAACTGTGCAACACTCTGATCCTCTGGGCGTAGCAAGCAGAGCCCATGTAAGTGAGAGCAGCAGCTGTCTGTGGCATCAGTCCTGATGTTACTGTTCCTTCCCTCCAGCCTCAAGTCTTCTTCCTGTGAAGTGTATTGAATGCAGAAGGTTGGATTAAATGCAGCTCCAGAGTCTCTCAACTTCTTGACAGAAGCTCAGTATAAATAACAAATTATTGACCATGGCCAAAACCCTGGAGAGAAATTCTAAAATTGGACTAGAGGATTTTAGTCAAGGCAAGAAAAAGAGCCCTTACCTTACCCTGTAGTCAGCTAACTTGTCAGTGGAGATAGAATTCCGAGGTAGTAGTGATGTCCATGGTAGAAAGCAGGGTCAGTAGTAGTTTGGTAGAGAAGGATACATAGATTCTAACCAGAGCCTCTGGGAAAACAGGCCAGAGGAAGGGCTTGGGAGTCTGCGAGGAGATGCAACAGTTTTCCTGAGTGCTGACCCAAGGTTCCCAGCGTGCCCTGTTCATTGCGTTAGAGAGCCATGTTTGTATCATCTCTCTTGGGACACCCCTCTCTGAGACCTGCACGTTATTACTGTGCTTGGCCTAATTTCCTTTAAGTATCCGAACAGGAAAATTAGAAAGTTAGACTTCTCCAGTTGTGTTACCATTTCAAAGGTACAACCCGTAGAATTGCAGTCATAACCCTCAGAAAACTAAATGGGTAATCATTCACCCCCAGCTTTCTTCATAAAGTGAGGCATCTGAAGGTTTGGTTAATTTGAAGAGTAGCTCATTGTAGCTTTTGTGCAGCAGATTCCACAAACTCCAGTGGACTCTCAGAATCAGAGCACAAATGTCTATAAACTTGCTTGGGTGTCTTGAGAGACTGGAGAAAGGGCTTGCTTTACAGATGGCTTTGTTGTCTCTCTGAAGGATCCCTGTCACTCCGATGACACACCCAAGTCAGGCAGATCTGGAACTCTTGAGTTTGTTCGGAGTGCTTTCTCAGGGCTATTTCCATCTGCAGCAAGGTGAACAGAGGGGCCTTCCTTCCATTCTTCCCATCCCTGCCCTGCTCACAGTGGGGTTCATCCCCTGCCACTTCTCCCTACCTGCTTTTGATGGTTTTTCCGGACAGGTCATCTGCCATCACCTTTCTAATGGGGCACAGCTGTTTCTGTTTACCCCTAACCCTCAGGCTTCCCCAGGCTGCAAGTGAAATGGGACGTTTTTGTGAGCTTTTCCCACAAAATGAGTTATATCGAATGTAATAAAATTTGGTAGAAAGTAAATGTTTTATATGTTTAATTTCTAAGAATGAATTGCAAGTATTTATAGTATTAATGCTGCCAAGAAACAAATCCTTTGTGCAGTGTTTAAATCTCATAGTACAACTTCATTGTAGCTTTTTTCTTAGCAGATGAATTAAGAATTTATTCAGTTTGGTGTTTGCTGTCTGTAGAGCAATAGTTATACAATAGTTAGATCACAAGAAGTAGTTACACTTTGGGGCGGCACAGGCCTCATCTACGTTAAGTCAGCAAGGAAAAAACATAGTGTAAAGTTTTGTGTGTACCTCCCACCCCCCAGGCCAGTATAATATGCCCAAGTGACTACTTTATGATGCAACAAGTTACGCCATTATTTAATACAGAAATTTTATGTAAAATTCCATGAGAGGAGAAAGCTTATGAGTTTTTACAAACCTTGAACACCGAGGTTTCACAATGACCTGGCACACACTGAGGTGGTTCTGAAACATGCACTGATGCCTGTTTCTCTTTTGTCTCCTGGTGGTATTTGTTTGTGTAGATGAAGGCAGCGAAGTAGAAAGTGAGATGGATGAAGACCTGGATGATTCTTCGGAGCCTCAGGCCAAAAGGGAGAAAACCGAGCTGAACCAGGCCTTCCCAGTGGGCTGCATGCAGCCTGTGCTGGAGAGTGCTGTGCAGCCCAGCCTCCTGAACCCCCTGCACAGCGAGCACATCGTCACGAGTACACAGACCATCAGGCAGTGCAGCACCACGGGCAACACCTACACTGCAGTCTAACAGCAGGAAAGCAGATTTCTCCAGCTTATCTAACCCCACTGATATTGGGCTTAAGCTGAAATTTTAACAAGCCTGAAGGTTGACTGTTGTCAAAAGTCTATCTGTGCTGAACATTACCTTTTTGGAGTTGTGAAATGGAATGGGTGTATGTATTTTTCCAGGTCTTTTTTTTTTTAACACAAATTATTCGCCTTTTAATAATAGAGCCCCATCCCCCCTTAGTTTCAGGTGTCAAGAAGGATTTTTACAACACTTAATGTCATTGTTTTTGTTTTCTCATAATTAAAAAGTAATTTACATTTTGTAGCTTAAAATATTTTATTGTTGATTGTTAGTCTTGGTGTATGATTTTATGTGTAAGTTTTTTAATTAGATGCACTTCTGTGAAATATCAAAAGAAATGAATTTCTTTGATTTACACTGGAGGCATGCCCATTTGGCAGCAGATGCATCAAATTTGCTTCTGAAAGGTGCTTTTCATTGGACAGAACCATAAGACACTATTTTGATAACATTTTGGAGTATGGAGAGAGAATACAGAGCGTTTTTATTATAGTGGTAGAGGGTTGGGAAGGTCATCTATTTTTCTCTGAAAAAAAATTGAGCTGTGCATTTATCAGTTCAGGGTAACTGACAGAATTGCAAGAGATTATGCTAATATGTACATAATTTGTGTACATAATTATTAAACCACGTTAACAATGCAAGCTTCCGTTAGACACTGACTTTTAACTATTGTTTGTGTACCAATTCCTCTGTTTAAAGACTACTGATTCTGTATTGGAACCACTGTACAGATGCATTCTGCTGTTAAGTGGGGCTGTTATAGTTAGATATTGCAGCTGAAAAAAATGACTTGACTTTTTCTTTTTAAGTGTACATGCTACTTATACTGAACTGGACATACAGGAAACCATTCCATGTGGATGACTTTCTTTTACTCCAGGTCTTTTTTCTAATAGTAGTTCAATATGCTGCTATTATAAAAGAAAGTGTATAGAATGCAAGGAATGTAGCGACCTGCATCTTGTTATTTCCCGGTTTCTAAAATACAAGGATTTCAATTTTACACAGAACCTGAAGGCAGTGTGACTGGCACACCTCACTGTTGCTGACCCCGACTCGGTAGGATTTGGATAGGTGGCTGGATGGACCATTGCCACTGAAGAACGTACATCAGGGATCATTGTACCTCGGCTATTACATGGTGCCTTAAAACAGAACTGAGCTAAGGTTGAGTAAGGTTTATTTTGTTCGTGTGAATAACTCTTCAATCCATTTGGTAAAGTGTGCCTGTCATGCTCAGATTCCTGACATAAAGACAGGTCACGTGTTCTTCAAGGGGAATTTAGGGGAAAATTAAGCAAAGCAGAGACACAAAAACTTCAGTTTCTCTCTGAGGGACTGTGAGTGGACTTGTCTATGTTTTATCCTTGGAGCTGAATATCACTTGATTACAAATCAGATTGCTAAGGGTGTGGACTAGCAGTTTTCATCCAAACATGTTACATAAAGATCCTGTGTTGTAGACCATTTTTATCTAGTTACAATTCTAGAAAGTTAACAGAATAAGCAGGTACTTATTGAAGTGCATCTTTTCAGTCTAAATGTCTGTCTGTGTGTCTGGATGTCTCTGTGTATACACATGTACATGTCCGCACACACACATGCACACGCACACGCACATGCACATGCATGCACGCACACACACATATGGAACTGGAGTTTGCTACAATCAGAAGGTGAGATCCTAAAGAGCACAGGCTCATCCCCTTTGACTTTGCATGAAAAGCCAAGGTTCTTTTAACCCAAACTGTCAATAACAGCATCAAAAATAGGGCATATCCTTTCATTTAAGTAATTATACAATTAAATCAGTGAAAGTCAATAAGGAACTAAGTCAATAAGGCAAAACTAGAAAGGAAAGCACAAAATGATACATAGATCACTATGAGGACTTCATCTTTCTAGTTGGGTTGGATGAGGGGTATGGTTGAGGAGACGAGGCTGTGCCAATCTGGAAAGTTAAAAATACCAAATGGCTTCTAAGGAAACATAGTCTATGGGAACTGTTATTGCCTGATTGTCTCAAACGTCTGAAAATCAACAGCAGTTCTTAAGTGAAATTTAAATGTCTTACATATAATTTTTAATGGATTCGGATTTTGTGTCGAGCAACTTACTCACACACAAGTCTCCACTGGCATTCAATCATCGCCTCATTACTGAAGATCCCAAGGCAATGAATCTGCAAGCCCCTCCCCTCCATCATTCATCATAAGCTACAAAAGACCATGGACCTACATCATTGTGAGTTAGAAAATGTTTACACATAAAATTCAAATCATAAACTAGCTCTCTTCATCTTGGCTCTCCCTCCTGAGGTCTTTTAGTTTCCTGTCTCTACCTATCAACCCCAGATGACATCATGTCTGTATTGGACCAAATGTATTTACTGATTTCACTGTGTTTATTGGTTGACTTTTTAAAATGTATTTGTATTGTTGTTTCATTTAATTTAATGTTGGAGATATTTGTATCATGGAAGGAATCAGCTAACAATGGACAGACATAGATTCATGAGAGGAAGGGACTGAGTGGCCCTCCAGAATTCAACATTTCTTCCAGTTGTTCATGGTTTGTTCTAAATTAGGCAGAGTAGAAATTAATAAATATTATTATGGTTAAAATTCACTCCGAAATATTCTGAACTCTTTAGGAATACTTAAGAACATTAATCCTTTTAAACCAGTGTAGCTAACTCTAACCAGTACACAGAAAAGAATACCCATGGCTTATGATACTTCTTGTCATTTCTAGTATATTGTTCACACATTGATTTTGCATTTGAATTGTGAACTATATTAGAAAATAAAAACAGTAATTTACATGCAGGCAAAATTTATAACAATCACATTTGTTTTAGTCATTTAACATTCTGTTTCTGTTTTTCCATTTATTGAAATTGGCTTTTCTAAATAATATCAGCCACTAACAGTCTTTATAGTAAACGTATTGACATAATACACTTTTTAAGGACTTGCTGGTATTTCTTAGCATTATAATCAAATGCTAGTCTTGAAACACATGTATGTGAACCAAGTGCTACACTCCTAGTGCAGGAAAGGGAAGGGAGGTGCATGAGCTATTGGTACATTTCAGAAGAGATTTCCATGTAATACACTTTGAGTATCATGGGTATAGTTTTATATTGGCAAATACTTTGAGAATTATAGCCAAAAAGTTTACGCTTCCAAAACCAGTGAACAATGGGTGGGATGGGTGAAACTTCTGGGAACACAGGGCCCAGTTTTTTATTTCCCCTTTGGATACCAAGTTACTAAGAACTTCGGGACTTTTGTCCACATCTTGACTGTATGACTCTTACTGCCTTTTCTGAAATCTGCGTTCCTTTTTGTGACTTTTTTCCTTGTACTGTATAGCACGGTTCATGCACCTCTCTTTAGATGGTGTACTTTAAAAACAGAAGTAAAACACACAAATGGTTTTCTCGCTGCATACCTAAAGTTAGTAGTGTGTGACATTAACTGCCTTTGATCTGTAGTAGATGAGCAAGAGTGAGCACATTCTTGCAGAACGCCGTAGACGTCAGTCAGGAGTGAGCACAGCTTCCATGCTGTGATCCTGGGCCTTTTTACATGGACACACTCTCTACAAGTGCTAAATGCGTTTTCAGTTTTTGAAAGATTATTATCACGTTATTATTATCATTAATATTATTATTATTTGAAATGTTTAAGATAATGCTGTGCTTGAAACATCTGTGTAAAAGAAAACACGTGTGTCACTGTGATGGTCCTCGTTGCATGGACATAGTAAAAAGTCAGAAGCTTGACGTGTTACGCTTGTACACGAGGTAAGGCAGTGGTTCTATACAACAGATTGACTTTGTCATAACCTCCCCTCCCCAAATTCTTTTGAGCAAATCACAACCATCCAGAAACTAAAATCAGAACTTTTCTGATCTCTGTGGATCACAGCAGAGTTTGGGGGAGGAGGGTTGTCATGCAGTGTTGTTCAACATCAGGCTGTGACTGGATCAGAGCAACAACCTCCATGTACATGGTAGAACAAATGCATTAACAGAACCCTAGTATTTCTGTGAGTCTGGTGATTTTAAAAGACTGGGATTGAAGCATTAATTCAGTGCTTAGTTCTAGTATTAGAAAAGCCCTTTGCTGTAATGCCTTGTATTAACCCTTTGAGCATTGTAAGATATACAATGGGGGATGAAAGCCTTTCAGATCATTTATTTAGACTTAAAAAAGTAAAATAACCTCTATATCCAAATGTCTAATTACACTGTTTTTTAAGGGGGGGTCAGAGAAGAAAGTGTCTCCATGCCGAGCACTTGCGTCTTATACACAACTCTTCATTTTCCTTCAAGAGGGCTGGATATATTTATTCCCAAATATTCACTGCCATCTAAGTAAGTGTACTGTTTACAGAAGACAAAAATCAACTTTTCTAGCATCACGTGACTCTCTAGAAAAGGAGGACGCATACATGGGCCTGTGCCGGTCTATGTTGTAACTGATGTCTGCACACTGGAGGTACCTGATTGCCTTTAAAAGGTATGATAAAATAAAGGGTTACATTTTGTCTTTTTTTCCAAAACAAAAGATCTCATTTATTTAGCTTTAGAAAGTACAAATGAAGCCTCAGGAAGGACCGAGTTCCATGGAACACAGCTGAACTCTGAGGTATTTAGGCTCTTTGGAGTTGCATCGATCATGAAGTATTGTTTGGAAATCATGTAGGGCATAATTTTATCTATGCTCCAAAACATTAATACTTTGTCATAAGACATAGAGATGCAGAGTGGCGAGCAAGACACTCGCTTGCTCTAAGCCCTTCTGCCAGGAGATGCTGTGACTACTGCTTCAGCTATCTCTGAATGTCATTCTGCTTACAACATTTGCTGATTTCTTTGAGGGAATCTCTGGACAGTTGATCTGGTCCTCCCCTATGTGACAGAACACGGAGCTGTGTTGTGCTCAGATGTGCCCATGCTGCCCTCGCTGAGTGTGACCTACTCCAATGTCTGCCGACATCCATAGCATAGTGCAAGTGTCCGTACGTTGCTTTTTAGGCAGTTGAGGAAGTCAGACCATGCAAATTAATCATGTGTTAACATGCAATACTCAAAGGGTTTTACTTTAGCTCTCTTCTTTTGACT